AGTCAATCAATCAATCAATCAATCAACCAATCAAAAAAAAAAAAGGAAAAGTAAAAATAACGAGAAAAGCGGGTTTTCCCTTTTTTTTTTAACTTTCTTTTTCTCTTTTGAGCAAAAAAAAAAAAAAAAAAAAACTTTTTTTATATTTTATTTTTTATTTTAATTTTGGTGAAGAGTTTCAATGTGACCCTGAGGCAAAAGTTGTTCAGTTTATTTTTCTGCATAACATAGTTTTTTTTCCGGAATTTTTGGAGGACGTCCGTTTTTTTTTTTTCAACGGGATTCAACGGTGATTCAACGGTATTCAACGGGGATTCGACGGGATTCAATGGGGATTCAACGGGGATTCAACGGGATTCAACGGGGATTCAACGGGATGATTTTTTTTTTGGCTCGCGTTTGTCCAGTGCCGTTTCCGAGGCCCAATGCACCCTCCCCGTTGAACAATATTCAACGGGGGGGGGGGCGTTGTACTATTCGACGGGAATTCAACGGGGCCCCGGGGGCTATTCAACGGGTACAACGGAGTTGAAACTTTCCCGTTGCCCGGTTAATAGACACATAGCCGGTGAGAAGGAAGAGAGGCGGATGTCGGGCCAGACAAAAGAACGACGAACCGTGAGCAGGGCAGCAAGGCAAGAAGGCTGTACAGGATGGTGCAGCAGGCGATGGTGCCAATCGCAGTGATTTGTGGACGGTGGAGCATATGATTGCTCTTGTTGGAGCGAAAAGAGACCAGGATTTGCATCTCACCAGCTTGGGACACAATTATGGACGCATGAAGTCGAAGACTTGGAAGTAGGACGACGTCGAGAAGAGGCTCATGAAGATGGGGGTGACAACCAGGAAGGTTGTGGAGTGCGGGAAGAAATGGGACAACCTATTCCAGCAGTTCAAGACAGTTTACAAGTTCATGGGTGAATCCGGGAAGGAGGACTTCTTCTTACTCACTCCGCAGGAGAGGAAGGAGAAAAGCTTTGCGTTTCGAATGGACCGGCGTGCGTATGAGTAGATGAAGGCAATTTCCAGAGGAGATCACACTATACACCCGACGAATCTTGGGGACATGAGCGTGCCTGGAGGGGTTCAAATGGCTGGGTCCAATGCCAATCGGAATGAATCCATGGCTAGTGAGGGAGGCAAGGATTGTCAGGACGACGAGAAGGGATCAACGAAGGAGTTGTTCTTCAACGCGGGTAGCGGGGGTGGTGGATTCAAACAGAAGAATGTAAAGCACCAGACCTTCGAGGCGATCGCGGACATCATGGACAAGCACGGGAAGTTGATGGCAATGGCAGTTGACAGTACGGCCAAGAGGCAATGCTCCGTTTTGATGAGGCACTCCGACATTGAAAGGGAGGTGGACATGCAAAAAGAGCACTACGAGAAGGCCGACCAAGCGAATTGATGATGTGCAACGCCCTCCTTGAGATTGCAAAAGCCATCCACGAGAGATCTTGACGTCATCCGCTTACACATCTCCGAGTTCGGCCTTGTCGCCATGTTCATTGTTTGGTGTCCACGTTGTTATCAACGTCGTTCTTTTGTAGTCATTTCGTTTTCGTGTTGTCGCCAGAGGTGCACATGGTGCCCTACACTCCGGGACAGTAGTTTAGTGCGCATTCCGTCATCGCCATCGTCGTGCGCGCTGCACTGTGAAGCGAGGGTGGTTATGTAGTAACATGGGGGTGATGCAGTTGTCGACGGTCATGCGTCATTTTGTTTGGGCAATTTTTGGACTTGTGATGACAATCACGTCCGTCCGTGCGTCATAGAAGTGCAATGGAGGCCGATCACTCCGTTAGTCCTCCTTTTCCTCCGATACGTTGTCCCGTATGGTTTTTCAGATGTGGTGTTTAGATGCTCACACGAAACGTATTTTGTTGTAATTGGATTTTCATAAAGACGACATGCTTTGTAATTTGTTTCATGGCCGCAGTAATATGTGACACGCGATTGTTCTTTTGCAGGCAAAACATGAAAAACAAATGTATGGCCATGAGAACGCATTCCGTGAAATTACTTGGTTGCCCTTTTCGTCTGTGCATGGATGACACCACCTTCGTTTTTTGTTTTCGGTTTTCTTGTTTTTTTTTTTAATTAAAATCATTTTACATGTCTTTGTACAGGCCATCCCGCGTCTGTGTCTTATAAAAGATTTCAAGCAATCCTTGCTTGAGGTTGTCATCCGTCGCGAAAAAGTGGCCCGACGAAATCGTGGTGAAAGATTGAAATGACGAAATGTGCAAAGGAAAAGCTAATGTGTGGCAAAGGCAAATGCTCCTGGCACTTGGTTTGCGGGCTGAATATGTACATTTGTGTAATTTCGATTGATGTTTTCCTACATGACGGGTGTGAACAAATTGTTGTTATGCAAATCACAAACAAACACAAAAAAAAACAGAAGCACGCACACACCAATACACACCAACACACACAAACACACACATGCACACACACACACACATACACACACACATACACACACACATACATACACACACACACAACGATGGCCATTCCGCACTCCATCTACCCCGTCGTCACCGACGACACTGTCACACTGTCTTTGTCTTTCTTCAAGGGAGATGTCGTAGGACGCACATTTGTTGGTTGAGAGAATGTGCACATGGTAGACAACGTCCCCACAAACCTCCTGGAGGTGGTCATGGGTAAACATAACGGGGCGCAAGGTCAGACGCATCGATGTCATGTGCAACGAGGTGAAGCAGGCCTGTTTCACTGTCTTCATCGGTTTTCAGGGCGAGTGCATCCATGAAGTGGCTATTGTTGTGGAGAAAAATGGACGTGCCCCGCCCGACCGGGGATCGCTGGAGGTTGACCCTTTGTGGGACTCGGTTGAGCTTTGTGTCTCTACCATTTCTTTCAACTACAAATTCGACGACGTCATCCACAAGGATGCGTCGTACAGGACTATCGTTGTGCCGCTATTGCATGATAGATGGTATATCGCCGGACCGGGTCCTGTCAGGGTCGGTGATCATGGGAGCACGTTCATTCATCTTCAGGGTCCTCGAGGGGGAGACAATGGGGCGAGTGTGGCAAGCTCCTAAAATGAGGGGTGGCATTTCGACAATTTGCTGAACGGTTGGGGAAGGTGGTTCACTGGTCGTGCATTGGGGAGGTTGTGGAAGGGCGAGGCAGATGGGTGGATATGGTTGGCGGGCAGGGGTGGGGGGTTGGGGAACGCGGGTTGGGGGAGTTATAAGGACACAGGGTTTCGGGCGAGATGGGGTGAGAGGGCCGAGGTCAGATTGGAATGGACGTTTCGTTAGGTGGGGTGGGATGGGGGGGTGTACGGGGGGAAATGAACGGGGCAAGGGTGGTTTTGGTGCTTGGCTGCGCTTCCCGACATAGGTGGGGTCGTCGGGCGCTCCTAAGAGTGGAGATGACGCGTGTCCTGGACTGCTCGTCGCTCGAAGGGCAACCTGCAACGGGCGACAATAAGTCATGTCCCTCGGTCTACTTCCCTGCGGGGCAAATGTGAAAACGGAGGTGAAGGTTGGCGCCGCAGAAGTAGTTTTGAAAATTTAAAAGGGAGACGGGCAGTCATTCCATACCGCCGTCCGCGGGTTCTAAACTTTCAGAGCTGCCACGCGAGAACTCCACGGCCACGGGGCTTTGCAGTTGACCGCGTCCACGTCATCCGCTTCGTCTTCTTCTTTGTCATCAGGGAGGGAGTTGGTATCGTGGCGGAGGCGCATTGTAATTTCCTGCGCGTGACGGTTCAATTTTCGTCCGCCATCACAGCCGTTGCCTCGACTTAGAGCTGCGACCTTTGCGATTGTTGCGCTGATGGAAAGGAAAGGTTAAGACATCATGGCACCGCACGATGGGTTGGGAAAAGGCAGGAGAGACGAAGGATGGAAAGGTCGTGGATACGTGCCAAAATCAAAGAGGCAGCGCGCGCCGCATGGAAGAGGTGGACGTGCTGTCCGACGACAATTTCCAGGCGATGAAAGCTCTCGTCACAGGGGCGGCACACGATTGGGTTCTGGGCGAGATGGGATCAACAGGGAACAGTTGGCGGCGTTACAAAACAGCACCGCTGCTGGTGGTGGTGGTGCCTCGCCAAGGACACCGAGGTCAAAGGGGATTGTAATCGTTGACACGACTATCTGGACTCTAGAGACAAGTTGCCGCTGCAGCCCAGGCGTTCGCGAACGTCGCCCACGGTCTGCCATCACTGCCGCCGTGACTAGTGGAAGGGACAAAGCGCCTGTTGTCCAGCCCCAACATCGCCAACATGAAACTCCACAACAGCAGGGGGCTATGGGGGTGCCGACAAGTCCTCCCACTGTGGCGGGAGTGGAGGGAACAACCACACGGAAAACGGCTGCACAATTTCAAGCCAGCTACAGTACTGTTGCGGAAGGGGGGAGAAGGCGAGGACTGACGACGGGCGTCGCCACGATGGGAGAGGAGAAGGAAGCCGAGAGGGCGACGACGATGAACCGCTCAGTAGGAGGAGGAAGACCAGTAATAAGGACGGCGATTTGGAGGCGCAATCGAAGCCGTGGGTGGATTGCGAGGCGCTTTGGGAAACCGTTGCAAAAGGCAGTTGTTGACTGTGAGGACTACTACATTGCCATCGCCAATGGAGACGCAGGAGTTGAACCCCCCCGCCCATGCTCATCATGTCGCCCAACGATTTGTTGCGCTTCAAGATAGACGACTTCGCGTAGTGGGAAATTGCTCTTTACCGGGCGAGGAAAACCCAGAATGTTCTGCTGCGCACGATCCACATGTGGATCTTGAAGTCACCGTCCAAGTTGAATGGCTTCGCTCACGCAGAATCTTACATCACTGTGGACTACGCTGCGGACTTGGCACGATCTGCCTGGCAAGGTCTGGAGTGCACCAGAGTGGTTCCCCCTACTCCGATCTTCTACACTTTGTAGATGAAGATGGGCGTACCTCTCTGGTTCGCCAGGGTCAAGATGGTCGACAGGCCTGAGAACGACGATATGGCGATGCAGCAGGAGGCGACAATTGTCCGCCTTGCGGAGTGTTGGATGAATGCGTTGTGGTGCAGGCAGTGGGCAGACGACAGTCGTTTAAAGCACGAGAGACTAAACGGGCTCGCCGATTGTCTTCGAACACTCCAAAGCGCATGCATGTGGATCATGCGCATGGGCGACAACGATGTCGTTCCCACTATGAGCCGTCCGTGTACACGACCATGCTCGCCAAACCCACACTAATCAACGCTGGTTCTTACAAAATCAAGTGGAGGAGACACATTCTGGATACCACGAACGTTGTTTTGGATCGCCTTGGGAAACCCCACCTCACGCTGGGAAACTACCCACATTGCATACCTGATTGGCTTGATTGCGGGCTAATCTTCAACCACAACATGACCTTAAAGAATGCGAACGAAGCCAGGAGTCATGACTGGCTCGACATTTGTCCTTCAACGGGCGTCGAAAAGGACGATGGTGGTCGACATGGTGGCGCATCG